CAGAGCTTCACAGGGCAGCAAGTTAATCTCTCTAAATCATCTGTGTTTTTTTAGTAAAAATGCCTCTGATAGTTTGAAAATTGATGTGTGTCAGTGTTTAAATGGGATTGAGGTTGTCTCATCATTTAGGTATCTGGGGCTGCCATTGGGAATAGGGATATCTAAAAAGGAGGTGTTTGAATTTGTCACAACTGCTGTGAAGAAGAAAATTATAAGTTGGAAAAACAGATTTCTCTCCTTTGCTGGGAAGGATGTGCTTTTGAAGGCTGACAATTTTGTTCTTCCCATATTTGTAATGTTTTGTTTTTGCTTGCCAGTGGGAGTGTGCAGAGAAATAGCTCAGCTGTGTGCAAAGTTTTGGTGGTCTTCTAGTGCTGATCAGCAGAAAGGGATTCATTGGCTGGCTTGGCAAAAAGTTACAATTCCTAAGAGTGTTGGGGGGTTAAGGTTTCAAAGATTTCAGAGCCTTTAATGACTCTTTAATTCTGGAGCAGATCTGGAGATTATTGACAAAACCCAATTCACTAATGACAAAGATTCTGAAAGAGAAATACTTCCCAAATGACTGTGTGCTCAATGCTAAAGGTAAAGCTTCTGCTTCCTGGTTATGGAACTCATGGGCTAGAGTCATGGCTATTCATAAAGATGGTTTCAGAAAACAGATAAAGGATGGGGTGTCAACCAAAATTATATCAGAACCTTGGGTGATGGGACTACATGCAGGGGTTTCTTGTTTAAAGCCAAATGTGGGGATTCTACAGATGACTTAGGTGTGAGAGCTGCTATTCGATTCTGGTAGATCTTGAAACATTGAACTGTTACAACAGCTTTTTACAAATGCCACATGTAGAGCTATAATGGCAATGCATAACCTGAACCCAGAGGAGAGTGACAGATGGGTTTGGAAGCCAGATAATAAAGGTAAGTTTTTTGTTTCCTCTGCCTATGCTTTGGTAATATCAGAAAGTGCTCAAGTTAGATTCTCCAGGTAGCAGTTACACTCAGGCTTTGGATAAAAAAGCTAGACTGAGATGTTTGTCACTTAAGGTGAAGCCTAAATTAAGGCATTTCCTTTGGAAATGTTTTACAAATGATCTGCCTGTGGGCGAAAATCTGTTGTGAAGGAGATTAGAGCTGGACTCCATTTGTAGATGTTGTGGTGAAGATATAGAATTTGTGGCACATTTATTATTTGGCTGCAGGAGAGCAAAGAGGGTTTGGAAGATCTCCCCTGTATCTTCGGACTTTCATGAAGCTGCCACAATAGGTTTCAAGGGATGGTGGTGGCAGATTGCAGAGATGAAGCTATCACCCTTTTCTGAAGCCCGTATTCAACTGTCTACTTATATTTTGTGGTGGCTGTGGAAGTTTAAAAATTTGTGGGTCTTTCAAAACACTTGGCTGCCTGAGGAGTCTCTTGCCAGATTGGCTCACAGGGAATGGATTGAGTTTTGTTCAGTTTAGGCTTGTTATGTTGTTTTTGTATTCTTGCAGGGTCCTGTTTGTAGGTCAGTGGCTTGGATTTGTGTCAGTGTGTTTGCTATTTTCTGTATTTTGAGATGTTTGTTTGGGTTTGATCAGGTAGTGCCCTAGGTCTTCATAACTTAGGTTATGCCTTTGGTGCTAGTTGGTGTTGGTCTAGGCCACCTTGTGGGTGTGGTTCTCCATTTATATTGTAAGCGCTAGTGAGTCCTCCGGTTGTACTTTGCGTTTTTTTATGTTATGAGATATATTATCGTTTGGAAAAAAAAAAAGGTTATCATACGCGATTCCTACATGTGAAAATCCATGGTTAGTCGTTGCATTAACATCGGCCCCGAGTTTTATGAACAAGGATGCCAAGGGCAGGAATAAATCGACCCAGCTGCAGATTCATGGCCCGATCTAAGCGAGAATGGTTGGATACATTCATTATGCTTTGTTAAAAGAACTAAAGGTGATGTGCACATAACAGCCATCAAAGCAAGGCTCAAAGCAAGGCAAACTCGGAGTTGGAGTTTAGGTAGAGGCTTGAGATTGTGTTGGGATGTTTTAGCACAAAGGTGGACTGCTTTGGGCCGAATTAGGATGGAGTTGTATGATGCCTGTGAACTAAGCTTAGAGGAAATGAAAGGTAGGGATTGAATTCATTAATAGAGAACATGAACGAGAATAAAGAATGAAGAAAGGAAAATGCCACACTCTGTCAAAATTTCATGAACTTTTTTATCACGTGTTTGGATCTTCTATACATTAGCATGCCTTTATATTAAGCCATGCTCGGGTAGGATGGAGAGGTGGATTGTGCACACACATATGCATTAGCGTATCGCAAG